GGAAGAGAAATGCCATATCTAAGAACATATGGTTATTATTTTAGAGGGGGGAAAAGAATGCCTAGTACACAGCCCCAAGAAAAATTTTAAAGAAACAAAACTGAGAAGTTTAAAAAAAAAATTACCAAATTACAGAATCCATACACAGACTCTTTCCACTCCATATTTGATACAAAACTCTATTCCTCCACACAACTACATCCAAAAAAACTGGGTGGGGAATGGGGGAAAAAGACTAATATTTACTGGGAAATAAAAACACATTATAAAGAGGTAAAGAGGTTAACTAGCTTGCCCAGGGTCACACGCCCAGTCCCAGGCAGACCAAGAAGGGAAGGCAGGTCTGCTGACGCTCCTTGAGCCTCTGCTCCTTCAGAATTCACGGCCCGCTTGATCACAGAATCAGCATGGTTCACAGTCACACTGATCTCAGCAGGAGCTTACTGTCTGAATACGAACCAGTGCTGAGGGTGAAAAATTCTACAGAAGTCCCAAGTATGGCTGTTACTATTAAAAAGCCATTTTCCTCTTAGTTTAAAAAAAAAATTACAGAAAAGCTCAATAGCAAATCAAAATTTAATAATAATCTTGCTCCTTTCTCCTCTGAGCACAGAGTTTAAGGGTCCTTCCCTCTCTGACTTCCTCCCACTACACAACAGCTTTCAAGGCAGCAGATCCCATTGCCACCCCATCTCCTTGAATATATATTACTTCTCAGCATGCTCCGGCAGGAGTAGAGAAGGAGCCAATCTGTGAGGGAGTGAACAGAAGATCTCTCATAATAGCACAGAGAAGACAGAAAATTGCTGCCAAAAGTGTAAATTGCTTTTTTTGCTTGAAAAAGAAAATCACTCTAGGCTTCAAAGACATTCTTTTAAAAGATGACTCCACAGTGGTTAATATCCACATTCTACATATTAGGACTTTTGCTCCTCCTGCCCTCCAAGAATCCTTGCCGTCTATATGACTGCATCAGGGACTGGAAGAGTAAACTACCAGGTGGAGGGGCAACAGACAGCTAATTCTGTGAGGTCAGAGGAAGGCTTGGTTGCCTGCTCCCCAGGGAGTCTTAAAGCACCCCTTCTGCTGCTCACCCTCAGAGGACACTGCATGAGGATGAGATGAAGAAATATCCCTTTATAATGACAGGCTAAGGAGAGGAGAAGTAGCTTGCAGAAAACAGAGGCCACAGCAATTCAATGTCAAAGCAAGTAAGAACCTCCAGGTTAGAGGAACAAGACCAGAGTGGTACTCTGAGGTGAGTCCTTCTGGCTTTCACACAGGGTCACACAGAGACATGCGCTGGTCTCTTGGAGACAGTCCGAATGCCAGTTGAGGGCATGAGTCCTGAGGCCAGGCCAGATTGAGGTCTGAGCTCTACTGCTTACTGGCTGTGTGATCTTGGGCAAGTTAATCTTTCTGAGCATGAATTTCCTCATTTTACCAGTGGGATAAAAACTACATCATAGCTCCACATGAGGATTAAATGAGAATACATAAAAAACACTGTACACAGTAAACCTTCAATAAGTGGCAGCTACAATTATTATTATTGTTGTTGATTAGCAGGACAACTAAACAATAAAATCCAGGACAAGGAACAGACATGACTAAAAGTACAAATACTTGGCCACCTCACGTCAAACAGCTTGGGAAGTCAAAAGTGAAAAGAGGGAAGAAGGCAGGGAGACTCTAGCTGGCAGGAAGGGAGGAAGACACAGATCTATTACAGACAAATAACGTTTCAGTAGGACAGGAATTCTCCTTTGTTCTTGCCACCACGGAGAGGGGTGGGAATCCACTTCTCCCTCAGACTTGCGTGCAGACAATGGGGAAGCAGCCGTGTGGAAAGAATGCTAGTGAAGGAGACACAGGACTAAGAATCCAAGCAGATCTGGAACGCAGGGTCTCTGGAGTCCTTCCTCTTCCTTCCCCTGAGCAGGCAGACCCACGCTTCCTTTGTCTCCCTTACACAGCAAACTCTCATTAATACTGTCAGCAATACAGAAGCCTTTGGAACAAACTCTGCTTGGCTTACTGAGATGGTAAAGTGTACATCATAAATGAGAAAAATTTCAGATCAAAGGCAATCTGCCCTGAAGTGTTAATTGGAACAAACTGAGCCAAATGGTAGTTCAACACAAACTGAATGGAACCAGTAAGTCTGCATTTAAATGTTAAAAAGAAAATTTGACTCCTCTTTCTGCCAAATGAGAACGTGCTCTTCAAGTGCTCACTGTACTAAAAAAGGGTTCTGTCAAGTCCTAGTCCAACAGGATCCCTGCTGACACCCACGGCAGCCCGGCCTGAGGGAGACACTTGGCGTCTTGGTTGCTGGTAAAGAACCTCTATTGCTTCACCACTGTTTTGCCCAAATGACATGAAGCTATCTGCAATTAAACTCTAAAGCCAGGATCGCACACTGAATAGTATCTCTGAAGGTAGTTAATCTCTTCATAAGGTCCCTGTAGCCTTCTAATCAACGCCACTCTGGCATGTGGCCATAAAGATAAGATGAGTGTGCCCATCATAAGCAGGCTCTCTCAAGACAGAAACGCCATTTCTCCCCCGTGGACTCTGCACATTCTGTCTGCTAAGGTGTTTTCTTTACTCTGGTCTTACTGGAACTCCTTCTTTGGGGAGAAGGTCTAGGGCTCCTCCCAGCAGCTGGAGCTAGTCTTGAGAACAGAAGAGGGGGAGTGCCAAGAGAACAATTTAAAGAGTTTATCTAAACCAAAGGTCTGTGCAAAACAGTGACAACTTGCTCAATAACTAGCGGCTGATTTAGGCTCCCAGCATCGCCAGCCTAGTCTAACTAGTCTCCCCGGCTCCGGTGTAGACCCACTTCATTTGCCATTCTACAGGCAGGGGAGACTTCCAAAATGCACATCTACTCAGGTTAACTCCTGTTTAAAGTTCTCTAATGCCTGCCCACTGCCTGCAGATAGAGCTGCGATACCTTCAGGAGGCCTATAAGGCCCTAAATCATCTGGCCTCTGCTTTTTTCCTCCACTCTTCTCTTGTCCGGTGCTTTGACACGACCTGCTCCCTCTACCTGGAACGACTCTACCCTTGCTCCTCCTCTGCTGCCCTCTCATCTTTCAGACCTCTCTTTATATATAACCTTTTCTGGTAAGCCTCCCCTTATCCTCCAAGACTGACTTAGGAGCCCTTCCTAAAGCAGCCTAAACTTCATTTAATTATAGCACCTCCCCCACAGTATAAGTGCCTGGTTATAAGCTCATCTCTCCCACTACACTTAGGCAGGGGCCATGTCTGTCTTAGTTATCATTATATTCCCACTGCATAGCACAGTGCCCAACACATAGTAGGGTCATAAGAAAAGAAAAGAAAAGGAAAGAGGGAGGGAAGGAGGACGGATGGAAGGTCGCAAGGAAAGGAAGAAGGCAGGCAGGCAGGCAAGGGGAAGGAAGGAAGGAAGTAAATGAACACAGCAGAGGGAGCCTATTGCTGAGGAGGCTGGTAGATGGGGTTTGAAGGGATCCCCTGAGGCTCTGTAGGTTTGAAGCAGGATGCCTGTGGCTTCAGTCACAGTAGACAGGAGCTGGGTCTAGGCTGAGAACAGGTGCCAAGGGAGGGAAGCACCAAGACATGCAGATGTGGGACAACACTTGGCACTAAGAAAGGGGTTCAGGATACGGGGAGGGAGAGGAGAAAAGAAGGAACTGTATCTGCTGGTTTGTAAATAAAACCAAAGAAGGGCCGAATCCTGGCTCCAGGAAGGTAACCTTGGACAATTCATTTAGCTTCTTTCAATGAGAAGTCTGAACTAGACAAGCGATTTTCAAACTGAGTTCTGAGGAACTCTAGGTTTCTGCAGAAGCCCCTCAGTGTCTACTGTAATGAAGAGAAAAGGTTCACCAGAGGATGTGGCCCCCAATTTTATCCAGAGAAAAACTGCTTTACATACATCGAAGTTCTACTTATAGCCCATTTGAAAAAAATGTGCTTCTGCTAAAACTAAAGTTTGACTAGCAATGGCCTGCAGGACCTTTCTGATCCCTCCCAGCCTTAACAGTCCTTGATCCTATGTGACAGAGGGGGGCCATGTGAACACTGCATTTTACTGTTGTACAGATGCCCCTCAATCGTGCTGACGGCAGAGCTGCAGCGTTTCCTAGAGCCTGTTGTCACAGCCTGAGCAGCAAAGCTAGGTAAACCAAAGTTCAGGTTCCTTGCAAGGCTGAGGCAATAATGAAATGCACTCTTAAATTTCACGTGGTTGGGGACCGGCCCCGTGGCCGAGTGGTTAAGTTTGCATGCTCTGCTTCAGTGGCCCAGGGTTTCGCCAGTTCGAATCCTGGGCGTGGACATGGCACCACTCATCAAACCACGCTGAGGCAGCAACCCACATGCCACAACAAGAAGGACCCACAACTAAAAATATATGACTACGTACCGGGAAGCTCTGGGGAGAAAAAGGAAAAATAAAACCTTAAAAAAAAAAAAAGTTAAAAAAAAAATTTCATGTGGTGATACAGATGCACAAAGCAGCAGTTTTCCCCAGAGTGTTATACCTATGACCTTGGAGTCACCATATAGGTGTCTTGAGTCAGACACAAAAATGTTAGGGGTCAGGAATAAAGACTACTGGATCCAGAGTCCATTAAAAAAGGCAATCCAATTCCAATCAAGAAAGAACACCACAAAAGTTTATCTAGTCAGTCCAGCTGATAGCCTAATTACCATCCAAATACAGTGCCTACTCTTCTTAACAAGGTATGAAGAACAAAGCAAAGTTACCCTCATGACACACTTTCAAGTCTACCTTTATCTGAAGGCTACACGCAGGAAACACCACAGATGGGGAGGGAGACGGGAGTCTCACTAAACACGATCTTCAAAGCCCTAGCTTCAGACAGAGATACCTTCTCTGTGCTGTTTCTTGGTTGTCCGTATTTCACGGGGCATTAAAAAGGCCACAAATGTCACTCTACTTCAATTCTGAGAACAGACAAGCAACAACAATGTGATCTTACCTGGGTCCTTCCTCGTCACCCTGAAAGAAACAGAAAGAAACAGCATTAGAAATCAGCATTGGTAGAGACCAATTTAGGTTTCTCTCTCTTCCCTCTCCTCTCCCAACCCGAAAGCAAGGCTAGTGCATTTACTGTAACAGTCAAACCAGCAGACATCTAAGGGCTGACAAGGGCTAATATAAGCCCATGTTCAAACTGCCCAGCAGAGATGAACTTGCCCTTGCAAGCAGAGAAGTGAATGCACAGACCTAGGAGGCCTAAATAATAGCCCTGCCTTTTATTTGTGTAGCTGGCAGTATTTAGTTCTGAGCAAACTGAGAGCCCAAAATAGCAGCAGGTCTTAGGCAAAAGCTGACCAGCTCCAAAAGCTTCAAGCTGTTTCCCTCAAAGACTCCTTCCTACCTTGGTCCAGCATTTTTTTCTCCAAACATGAACACAGCCACTCGAATACAGAGCACACTATGGTGGAAAGGGCACTGAACTGGGACTCAGGAAATCAGGATTCTAGTCCAAGCCCTGTTATTTATTAGCTATGTGCCCTGAGGCAAGCTAATTAACTAATCTGGACCATGGGCTTCTCCTTCGTAAAAAGCAGTTCTGGCATGTAATGGTCCACATCCTTCTTCAGCCAAACAGTGGCTTTTCTCTTCTTCTCATTCATTCTCTGCAAAAACAATGTAGAAGGCTTCTTTGTCTGGGTACCGTGTTCTCTGAACCTGACTTTATCAGTGATCACAGCAGACTGCTTTGAGCCTCTTTTTGAGAGCAAACAAGATTTTTCAAATGACTCTTCAGCCTTTTCCAAGGGACCTCACTCATCCATTTAGTAACAAGGTATCGTTCACGTCTTCTTGAGCCATTCAGGGTTGGTCTCAACAGAAAATGTATCTCCTAGCTGTTGATAACTCCCCAGAGAACTTATCTGATTGATTGTTCCTATTGGTATAAAGGAGAATGAGCTCTGAGTCAGACTCTGTGGATTTAAATCTTGACTCCATCACGTGCTTGCTCAAGTGTTACCCCGGTCAAGTTATTGTGCCTCTCAACTTCGAGTTCTTAATTTGTAAAATGTGGGTAATAATTGTCCCTGTATCATAGGATGGGCGTGAAGATTAAATGAAATAATGTGTATAAACATCAAGCACAGTGCCTAAGATACAGGATGCACTTAATAAAGGTAATTATCAATATCAGTAACAATTCAGTATGATACCTTAAGAAGCTACTACATGTGGGCTCTAAGGGTAAAAGACAACTCATAATGATCTAACCTAGGAGCTCCCTTTCTAGACCAGGGGAAACAGACAGAAAATGAACAATGACTAAATAGGCTAAGGACTCTATCAAAGACAGAAACAGAATGCTTCGAGAGTCAAATGGGCAGTGATAAACACTGCCTCTCCAGGAGAAGGTGGAAGGCTTCACAGAGAAGGTGACATTTATAGTGGCACTTGAGGGATAAGCAGGATTTTCCCAGGCCGACAACAGAAGACGTGGGAAAAGCACTGGACTAGCAAGAACAAAGGCACAGCAGTTAAAAGAAATGTATGTTTAAGGAATTCTGAGTTCTGCAAAAGCAGAGAATACGGACGTGTATTTGTGTCTTGGGCGGGGACGTGGGGGTGGTGGTGTTGTGGGGCTGGGGGTTGTGAGGGAAGCTGAGGTAAAGGGAGATTGCCAGGGAACAAGCTTATAAAGGACAGCTGCTGCCAGAAAGGTAATTTACATCAGATTATCCACTGGAGGCTGGATAAGAAGGGCATTTTAGCAGACGGTTAAGGATCTGCAATACTGGTAAGAGTGCTAATCATCTGTACTCTAATGAGAGAGAAATGTGGGGTGAGAGATGGAAGGAGGGTACAGGGATCGTGGATGCTTTCTGTGCCTTTTGATCAACTGGCATGTCTTATGGGAACTATAATCTAGTAAGAATGAATTTATATAATTTAAATTTAATATGAATTACATAACTATCAATAACATAATTAAGCCTCAACACAATTTTTCAATTATCTTTGGATGTGAAAACATAATCGTCTAGGAGAACCGTATGGAACAATGTATCTGAACTTTCCCCCGTGATGCAGAGCAAGTCCTCAGGATCACGTGTCTTGCTGCAGGGGTTGAGAGATGGCCTTCGTCAGTTAGAGGGACAGGGCTTCAAATTCTGGCTCGTCTGTTTCAACAACAAGGCTCTTGGCAACTTACTTAACTTTTCCAAGATTCAGTTTCCTCATTTACACATGGAGACCCTAATTCTTAGAAATTAAAATAAATGAGAAAATGTGTGTAAAACACTAAGCAAGTGTCTAGTACATTTTAAGTGTTCAATGAATGGTGGTCATTATTGTACTTTCCCTGAATTGTTAACTAACAGCACTTCTAGGGGGAGTGGGGAAGGACAGAGAAGATGGGGCACAAGATTGTGCTTCACATTCATCCATTTCTGTTGCTTATAGATATGTGGTTCTTTTCAGAAACAATAATTACTATCACAAAACATGGGGTGGACCAGGGTGAGAGTTTCACTGTTGAAGGAATGAATAAATGAATGAAAGAACAAATACACACACATAGGAATTATAAGGCAATTCTGAATAGGTCAGAGACATTCAGCAGATTACTAATCTCGCTAGCAAAAAGTGTGCACATGCTATTCCTGCTACCCCAAATGTATATACCTCTTCTGAAAGCCTAGCTGATTCCTGTCCATTCTTTGAGACCAAGCCTCACTGGGAAACGTTTCCTCACTGACAGGCTAGGTGGAGTAATCCTACTCTGTCCTCTGCATCTGTAGGGCTCCCACTTCTGGGCAGTAGTTAGAGCAGAAAACTGACAGTCACAGCGCCATACAAGGTCTCCCTTTTTGAATTCCAAATCCTTGAAAACAGAAACTGTGTTGTTCATCCCTTTATTTACTGCCACCTAGCACAGCGCAAGGCACACAGTAAATAATTATTCAAGAAGGAAAGGAGGGAGGGCAAGAAGTAGGATTTAAGATTAGTTTCTACCACTAGTATGAGTAAATTCTGGTTTCAGAAAATATTAGAACTGAAAGTGTGTTAAACACCAGTTTCCACTTAAACGACTTACTAGATTAAGCAATGCTCCCAAATTGCTCCGTAAAACACCCTAACTGCTCTTGGCTGGTAGGCTACACTCTGGGACAACCTCTCATTTCTGCTTCCATCAGTGGAAATGGATATTCACCAAGAATCAAACAAGTCTGTTCCTAAGCCTGTTGATATCGGTTGAACTTATAATTATGACGACACATTTTATTAAATAACAAAAAATGAGTGCAAAAGAGAAGAGTTGCTTCCATGAAAAGTTGAATGCTTCCAAAATTCAATAAAGATGAGTTACTTAAAAACAGCTGTCAATTTTGATGTAGGTGAGACAAGCAAAATATCAGAAAAAATGAAGCATAAAATTCTAGAGTCTATATTTAGCTTGCTTCGAATGTTACTCCTCCTCATTATAAAGAGTCTGAAATTGGACTTTATAAATGGTGCAGTATGGGTGTGGTTTATGCCAGAAATATGACATTCCACCCCAAATAGCAAACCCATATTCTCAAAGAAAAGGCTGTGACTCAGAATCAAAGACATACACAGATACATATTTCAAGTTTAAAATAAACATTTCGGGTATGCATGCATCATTTTTAATGATTTACTCATTTGAACTGACTTCTCCTAAGATTATCTTACTGCAGCTCAGCATTTTACTCTCAAAACTAGACAAAAGATAGAAATGCTCACGACATGCAAATAAAAATAAAGACATACCATTTTTTAATACTTGACTCTGGCAAAGAGTATTATAAAAGAACTAAATTCAGCCAAAAAAATTAGAGAGTTTCAAAACTGGTGATGAAAATGTAAACTGATACAATTGTTTTGTGGACAGTTTGGACTAGGTGGAGTAATCCTACTCTTTTGTGGACATATCATACTCAGTAATTACTTATGATTCACAAACAAAAACATTTACTACAATGTTATAAACAACAGTAAGATGCTGGAAATAAAATGAGGTAAAAGTTAAATTTATATCATTGATTCAGGATTCAAACATTATGTTTATGAAGAATTTCTAGTAATATGAGGAAAATTTAAAATACGATGTTAGGAAAAAGCATGAGGGGATGAACCAACTTTATTGTGGTAATCATTCTGCAATATATACACATATCAAATCATCACATTTTATACCTTAAATTTACATGCTATCTGTCAATGATATCTCAATACAGCTGGAAAAAACCCCACCGACACACAAAAAAGAAAAAATGGAACAAATATAACACTCAGTGATAACTATCTACTTAGTGTGTTGTGTTTACTTTCTGCTTTGTCTATAAATTTTGAATATTCTATAATGATTAAGAAAGAAAGAATTTTATGTAGTTATTTGACGAGGGGAAAGAGCACATCTTATTAGACCTGTGGGACTGTGAAACTCCTTCTCTATCCTATATTCTATAAGATGACTCAGAAAGATTAAAAACACATTTTTAAAAAGAAACGTCACCAAAACACCACCTTGTAATCTCTGGGCTCTTTCAACCAGCAGCTCTGTGCCTCTACCTGACCTAATCAAACTCACCGGTACTGAAGGTTCCTTACAGCAGACACACTGTATTCATGGGCTGGTTCCGGAACAATTTTTACCAATCAAAGGCAAATAGCATTTGGGCAGGTGGGATATCTAGAATTTTGTCTTTAATAGCTATACTGAGGTATAATTTTTAATAACATAAAATTACTGGTTTTAAGTGTATATTTAATGACTTTAAGGAAATTTACAGAGTTATACAACTATTACCACAAACTTGCTTAAAAACTATACATACATACACATACAAAATTATGATTTTTTCATTAATTTCTTTAAAAGCATATGACTGTTTAAGCTAAAATTAAAATTATCTTGCAGTGTTTATAATATATGTAGATTTTACACATATGAAAATTATAACATAAAGAACATGGAAGGAGAGTAAACTGGCCTATAC